TTATATAAAATCATTGAATTAATCGTATATTTTTGTGGATATATTTACTAAACATTTTCCTTGTTAATTTATATAATTTTCCCATGTGCAAATCCATTTCGGGTAAATCCGTTGCCAAAATTATTTACTAAATAATTTCTTTGTTATTTTGTATAATTTTTCCATGTGTAAATCCATTTCGGGCAAATCCGTGGTCAAAATTATTCACTAAAAAATTCCTTTGCTAAAAAAATTTTCTTTGTTAATTTATATAATTTTCCCATGTGCAAATCCATTTCGGGTAAATCCGTTGCCAAAATTATTTACTAAAAAATTTTATTTTTTGTTAATTTTTATAATTTTTCCATGTGCAAGTCCATTTTGGACAAATCCGTGGGTAAAATTATTTACTAAAAATTTATTTATTAATTTTTATAATCTTTCCATGCGCAAATCCATTTCGAACAAATTCGTGGGTAAGATTATTTACTAAAAATTTCTGTATTAATTTGTCCATGTGCAAATCCATTTCGGGCAAATCCGTGCTGAAATTTTCTACTAAAACTTTTTTTTCTTTGATAATTTATATAATTTTTCCATGTGCAAATCCATTTCGGGCAAATCCGTGTCTAAAATTATTTGCAAAACAGGCAATTTATGTTTCTCTTTCTTATTTTATATTTTTCTAAAATAAATACTTATTTTCTAATATTATTTATGGTCAACTTTTTAAATTATCCAGTATAATATTACCTTGGTAACTAACCATCTTTGGTAACTAACAAATCGATGCACAGCATAACAAATCACTTCAGCAATGCAGTAAGAACGGCACTTTAAATTCCTCTAGTTACACTCAATTTGCGCTTCTGTCTTCATATTTTGTAATCTGGCAATCTTGTTGCGAAAATATTTTTAAATCTTTCTTAAAAAGTGTAAGTACAGTTTCATGTAAGTACATCTGATTTCGCTACTCGCTTTATAGATTTTGTTTTGTTTTATACTGTTTTTTCTTTTTCTTTTATTTCCTTTTATTTTATTTTCTGTTTTTACTTGTTATTTTTACTTATTGTGTTCTATTTTATTTGTTGTAATTTTTGTAAAAAAATTTTTTTGAGTGCTCCTCACACTATTGTATTAATATATTTTGCTTTGGCTTTATTGATACAATATCAGAAAGCACTCTTTTTTGCGGATATAATCGTGCGGGCTGATGAAAAGATTATATCTTTCATTTTCTGTTTTTTTTTTTTTTTTAAATTTTATCCTTCTTTTTAAATCAGTTGTTTGTTATTTTTTTCATTAATATTATTCCCCCCCCCTTTGCATATGTCTATAATTTTCCTTTGTTTTATCTTCTTTTTGAACTTATATATATATATATATATATCTACAATAAAAGTTCAGAATGAAGATAGAACAAAGGAAAATTACAGACATATGAAGAAAAAAAAGGAATAAATTTTTTTTTAAAAATTCAAAAAAAGAGTGCTTTCTGATATTGATACAATATCAGAAAGCACTCTTTTTTTGTGGATATAATCGTATGGGCTGATGAAAAGATTATATCTTTTATTTTCCTGATTTTTAAAATTTTTTTTATCCTTTTTTTCCCCAGTTGTTTGTTATTTTTTAATTATTATTTTCTTTCCCCCCTTTTTTTTCATCTATATTATATAAAACGCTAAAACGTATGTATCAATAAAACCGATGATATTTATTTTCTCGCGATAGCAGCAGTTTTCATTTTTAATTGATAGGCTTCGGCGCGCAAGAGCACGTAGTGAGCATCATATGTCTAATCGGGTGAATTCTCACCGAATTATCAAAAAAATTCTCCCAAAATTATCTTCATCGAAGCCGATGCTTTACATCAGGCGTTCAGTACTATTTCATATTGTTTTACGACACATGGTTTTAGCCCTCTGGTGGGAAAGACTTTAAAACAAAACTTACAACAGTTACTTTTCTCAGCAACTGAAACGATTATTTTGAAATTATTAGAAATTATTACTAAAATTATTTTGGTAATTCTAATGTTTTATTTTTTAAAAAATTCCCTGTCCCACAATCTATTGTTTTTCTTTTTCATTTTAATTCTATGAAATATAACATAATTTTTTATTCAAACTTTCCGGGTGTTGCGTAATATCGTTTAATATGCTTTTTAAATTTTTTCTAACAAATAAGTGAAATTTTTTTTATTATGGATCTCAAATTAATATTCATGTAAAAAAAATTATCGACCATTAAGAAATTTCGATAGAGAATAAAAAAAATTGCAAAAGCTTAATACTGTATCAAAATTGAATTAATATTCAATAAAATTAACAAACAATTTTTCTTTTATCTCTGAAAGTGTTGAAACACCTGTGATAATTCTCTGTGAGTTTATAGAATTATTCTTATTACCTACAGCATTTATTATTATTAACTGAATTAACTCATTTTCGTATTTAAAACGATGTTAACATGCTACCATCTACTACTTTCCTTACTACTACTGAATATTTAC